CCCTCTTCAGAGTTGTCCTGAGAATAAAGTATATTGTTCAAGAAAAGCTATTTAGGGACCAGATAACTATATGAGACAATTGGGACTCAAAATATGCTAGTTAAATGGACACTGAGAATGGTTACTAGGATGCAAGGAGACTTTATTGGTGATAACAATTGTATTGCTTTGGTCTTTTGTTTCTAGATGTTTATGTTTAAGCTTTGTTGGTTACCCTGGTGACATGTAAATATCCCTTCTCAGTACTAGTCCATTATGAAACTTCTAATTTAATGTACTTATGTATCTGATTTAATGTAATTATGCAAATATGTGAATTGTGAGAAAAACTTTATTGCATTGTTTTAACCTAGCCTAACCTAGGAAACTGGATCATCTCGATGTATTATTTAGAGACTCTTAACTAAGGACCTATGTTATGCTCACCAGAAACTCAGATCCAAATATTGGTGCAAGTGAAAACTGGCCCAGTACTGATCAATCAATCATTGTTTCTAAGGGCCCCTACTAGGTCCTTCTGACTACATTCTGACTATCAGCTGCCAAACTTGTGGGTGTGGACTCCTGGATCATATGAAGAAAGGTCCTGCTCTTGAGTGGACAGCAGAACCCTCTAGGGACTTCAAAGTTCATCTAGTACAGACCCAGAAGCAGCTGACACCCAAACGAGACAGCTGTCCTAACATTCCGTATGAGGGCTGAGTATGCTGTCCTACTTTTTTTTCCCCTCTTCTCTTTTATTATGTCCCTAACCACCAAGGCCCTGATTCAAGAGTATGTTGGCATTTTCTCTCTCTACATTCTTGGCTCCCCTCTCTCCTTCTGCTTGTCAGCAAACAATGGCTAGCAATGATACCTGGGACATACTTCCCTGATAGGTCCCCTCAAGGAATTAAGCCCTGGGCAACATCTCATCCTGGCCCAACTGGCCTCTCCTTTATTGGCCAGAAAGGTAGGGGTTCTTTCAGATCCCCTCCCTTTGGCCAAAAGGGGCAAATATTAAGATATTAGGAGACACTGTTTTCCAGAGCTAAGCCCAGCAAACAGGCTGTGCCCTGAGTTAGGCATAACAACACTCCTCTGTGCTCACTCTGGTTGATCTCAGCTACAGCAAAATCTCGGAATTGTTTCATATAATTATTGTTTCTTTGATCAGCACCAGGTGTTCTCTGAGCTTGGACAAGCACCTGCTGTATCATTCATGACCAGAATGTCATGAAGCCCTACTATGAATCCAACTTATCACATTGTTGCTTTTACCCCTCATTGTCAATGCTACAGCTCACTGTGCAACCATTGGAATAAGTATTGAGATCTCCCCACACTGCCTCAGTTCCCCCTACACACCCAGGGAGGGGCTCCAGCACATGTATCTTTGCTTGCAAGCCATTTCCCTCACTTTGAAATTAAACTTCTATTTGGTTCTTGACTCCTCTATCTCTAACCTGCTCTGTTTAGCTCTGGGCACCCACAGAAGCCAGTTTGGCCTGCTTGATACCTTTTATAGCTTCCCAAACTGGGTGATACCACCCCCGGGGGACATTGGAATGATGGGGGGACAGTAGTAGCCTTGGATACAATTGGGGGGCATTGAATAAAAATAAAGGGCCTGGGGAAGCATAAGGAAAGAAGAGAATTTTGAAAAACTGTTCATACATGTTTCATCTGTTGTGTAATACAGTTAAAGTTGTAGTGATTACATCATTTTCCAAATAAACTCACAAAATGCAAGTTATAACCAATTTTGGTCAAGTCCCCTGACAGGTCTTAACAAGCAAGTGCTGGCAGGCAGGCTTGTGGTACATTGTCAGGAAGTCCAGTGTGCATTGGCAGGAATACAATACTATATAGTCACATGATGCAATATTGTGTCATCAAAATTTCAATGCAGGAAAAAACCCATACATTTACAATAAATTATTAAATTTAAGATGCATCATTTTAAAAAATTATATTTTTTTGAAATGATGCAAATTTCAAAAAACTGTTGAAAGGTTAAAGAAAGTAGATTTCCAGGTGGGAACTGAGTAATTTTTTTTAAAAGGGGATAGTAGGCCAAATAAGTTTGGGAACTTCTGCTTTCCATTGTTAAAGGCAGCTAGGTGTTACAGTGGATAGAGTGCTGGCCTTAGAGTTAGGAAGGCCTCAATTCAAATTTGACCTCAGACACTTTTCAGCTGTGTGATTCTGGGCAAGTTACTTAACCTCTGTACCCGACTATAAAATGAGGATAACATACTTACCTCTCAGGTTACTGTGAGAATCAAATGAGATAATATTTACAAAGATCCTGGTACACTGTAGACCCTTAATAAATGCTTGTTTCCTTTCCTTCACATGGTTCATATTAATTATAATAACAATTAATTAATACATCTAGAGCTGTATGGGATCTAAGAGATCATGTTATCATAGTTTCACAGACTTAGAGCAGGAAGGGACCTCAGAGGTCATTTCCTTCACTCTCCTCCACGTACAGACAGGAAATTAAAACCCGGAGAAGTTAAGTGATTGACCCAAGGTCATACAGGTATAAAATGTCCAGAGATTAAATTCCAGATTTAAATTTCCATTTAAATTCAGGTACTCTAAAATTTAATGATGATCTTTTCCCACCCTACCACCCTGCATCGTTAGTTGCTAAGATCTCTTCCATCTCTAACCATTGGTACAAAGTCTCTTTGTACAAAGTGGAGAGATCATAAGGGTTCTCTTCCTCCTTTCCCCTCATCATTAGGCAGCCGCCTGCTTTCAAGAAGTCTGAATCTTTATTTCTCCTCCCAAGATAAGCAGAAGCACAGCACGACCACCACCCAGATCCAATTGCAAGCTCCAGTGAGGTCAGGATGACAGGAAAGATAGCCTTCAGATTCCAGGGCTGGACGCCTCATAAACATTTCAAAGCCAGTCACAATAAATATACACAACTCAGCTTGGCTTGGGCGTCTTCCAGGACAGCTTGGACATTCAGCTTCCCAAACTGGGGGTGCTGAGGATTTAGGAACAGGAGAATGGGAACCTGCATCCCAACTTATTTAGACATAACCCTTTTTCACTATCTCGCCCCCACATTCATTTATTCATATATTCATTCATCCATTCATCACTTCCTCAGAGAGTACCTTCAGAGAGTTCAAGAAGCAGGGTAGCGTCAGGAGCCCAGGTCCTCCCCCGAGGCCCCCCCCCCACCATCCTGGCCCCTCTCTGAGGATCTGTGTGGGTCCTGGGGTGTTTGGGAGCTCCTGATTGGAGGCCCGGTCGGCAGGGGGCGGGGCCGAAGGGCGCCATTGGCCGGAGCGAAGACCTCTAAGCTCGCGCCGAGAGTCCAGCCACTCACTGGGGCTGATCTGGGGAACTGTGATAGGCGCCTCCCGGGAGACCCAATGGAGTCGTCGGCAAGGAGTGCAAGGCACGGAACAACGAGGCGGCGCAGCCCGCACCTGCCGGCGGCGGCCGACGAGAAGGAGGAGCCGCCGGAGCCGAAGCAGAAGCCGCAGCCCTCGCCGAGGAGGCTCGGGCGGAGGTGAAGGGCATCCGGGAGACAGCTCCGGATGGGATGTGGCGAGCCGGGGTGGGGGTTGGGAGGGAGAGGCCGAGAGCGTGCGACGCTTTGACGGAAGGGACGTTTATCTCTTCCTCCTGGCGCGCGGCGCTCGGCTCCCCCCTCCTCTCCTCCAGCCTCTGATCCCGTGCTTGCAAGCCTAGCTAGGCCAGGCCACACCGCCCGGGCTTTCCCCTTCCCCTCTTTGACAACCTAATGGTTTTGCATTTAAAAAAACAAAAAAAAAACCCAAAAACAAAAACCCGTTTGAACGAGTATGACCATAGGGTTGTCCGTCCTATCTGAATGTCAGTTTCTTCATTCGTCAAGTGAGGGGATGGCTATTGAATTGTGACTTAGGATCGCCAAAGAGAGCCTAGAGATTCACCAGTCCTCCATCATTTGTCAGATGATTAACCTGGCTCAGAACAAGTTAATATACCTTTCTAAGGTCAGAGTTCGTTAGTGGCCGAGCCAGCACTAGAATCTAGGACCCTTTGGCCTCAAATTCTGTGCTCTTAACTGTTATGTGAGGCCGCTGAATTAGGTTGTTGGTTTCTATTTGTAAACTTTCTGAGACCTGGATGGGTTCCCTTTTTAACTCTGCCATTTACTCCTTGACTCCTTGGACAAGTCCCTGCAAGAGGGCTCCAATGTCCTCATCTGTAAAAGGAAGGGGGTAGATTAGTCCCAATGTCCCTTTTATCTCTGACATTTTGTGGCTCAGTTTATCTAGTATGAATGATATCAGTCCCAGTTAGAGTCTTCTTGTCTTCTAGGTCACTGGTCTCAAAAATTAGGGCTCAGCCCTGACCCCTGACATGATCAACCAAATGAGGATGGGAAATGGGTTGCAAACCACTCTCCCTGTAATAGTGATTGCTAAAGTTTGTCTCCAACTCCGATACCTACCCTGAATCTTTGACACTCCCCCACTCTACCCTGTCTCTGCATTGTGCAGTCTTTTCCCTTCTGAGCTGGGCTTTGATCCCTTAGGGCATTTATAACCTAACCAGTATGAAATTCCACAGCAGCAACTCTGTATGTGCCTGTAGAAAAATTGATTCCCTTGCCCGCCTCCACCCCAACATACTTAATCTCTGCCCAGAGCATCATAGGTATCTTGGAAGATAGGTGAGTTACCTACTTTCTAAAGCCCCTGTCCCCCTTCCCATTTTGCATAGGACGGCGGGCCTCCTACACAATGAGCAGGCATAGATGGGTTGTGACAGATGTCATTATCCTATATTTCTACCCATCTTCCAAACTGCCTGGTAATTGTTGAGGGGTCCAGCATCCTTCTAGTCACTCAGGTTCACAAGTGAATTATTAATGTTATTATTGACATCACATTTTCCTTCAGCCTATACATTAATTAATAAGCATTTTTGAAATATGCCAAGCACTTTGCTAGGCATTAGGGACACAGAAAAAAAAAGAAAGCAATAAACGAGTCCTATCCTCAAGGAGCCTACATTCTAATAAGACAGACAAAAAAAGAATCTATCTGAGGGTATTTTAAGCTGGGTGTGGCAATGGCTCCAAGTCTTCCTAGTCTCTTTCTGTCAATACCTCCTCGCTCCCCCTTTTCAGCTTTCTTTTCTGTATTTTCTTCCCCCATTACATTGTAAATTACTTAATGGCAGAGACTGTCTTTTTCCTTTTTTTCTAGTACTTTAGCACAGTGCCTTTTGAAGGCAGTTTTTCTACTATGATATAACCTGGCCTTAGTCATTTGGAGTAAGTCTTCTGGGTTGGCTATTTTAGAGGACATGATATCTAATGAGCAGAGGAAGGTTAGAATCACCCAGAAGTCTCATAATCAATCAACTAGTATTTGACCCAGGTTGCCAATATACTGAAATGTGTTATGTAATGTGAGCGATTGTACAAAATTTGGGAAGATAGGTTGAATTTCTTTGCAGGATGTTTGTGGACTAGAAAATTCAAGGAGAAAGATTTCTTCTATCTTAATCCTAGTCCATTTTGTACTAATAGCTTCTTGGTGTTTTTTCTTTTGCTAAAGTGTGGAAGACAGCCAGAATCCAGTCTTTCGAGAGGTGATCAATTTTAAGCCAACTCCCTTGCCAGGTGAGAAAACCTGAAGCTGTGCACATTGTTTGACTTTTGCAGGCCTTATGGCAAGGATTTTTAATCTGTGATCCATTAACTTGCTTTTTAAATACTTTGATAACTGTATTTTACTATGACTGATTTCCTTTGTAATTCTACATATTTTATTTTATGCATTTAAAAACATTCTGAGAAGGGGTCTTTTGGCCTTATTAGACTGCTTAAAGGGTCCCTGACACACAAAAAAGATTGAGAACTCCTGCCTTAATGGCTTCCTCTCAAGATTTCATCTGTTTGTTCTTTTTCAATTTCAAAGTTACATTTCAGTGTCTTTACTCAATGTGTCTCTCATCTGTTCAGTTAGAAACTATGACAAGATCACCACTGAACCTGTCAGCTTTTACTTTTCTTCACTGGAGGAGCTTCTGGCATGGACACCAGGTAGTGAGGATGCCTTTAACATTGCTATGATACCCCTAGCAGATCGCCAACCCTCACTTCAAAGCCAGAGACCTCGGACTCTGGTGTGCCATGACATGATGGGCGGTTACTTAGGTGACAGGTGAGTTAATTTTCCCACTTCACCCAATAAAACAGTTAAACTGAGAGACCAATGAGATGTAGTTAATAAAGTGCTGAATTGGGAGTCAGAAGACATGGGTTCTAGGTCTGCCTCTGCAACTAACTAGTTTTGGGTTTTGGGGTAAGTTAGGCTATTCTCTGTTGATTTTATAATCCTATGGCTTGCTGTCTCTCTTGATTCATTTAATTAACCATCCTTCCATAGCTTCACAATCTTTCCTGAGTTTCCTAGCTTTTATTGACTGATGCAAGATTTGTTATAGAACATAGGGAGACTTTACCTGAATGAATTTTGGAATTTCCCACTTTCTTGTCTGTTGTCTATTATTGTCTATCTATTGTCATTATTACAAATTTGAAAGATATCTTCCATTAATGAAAAGCAGTGTGGTACAGTGAAGTTGTACTGGACTTGGAGTCAGAAGAATGGAATCAACTTATGACTTTGGCACGTACTGTGTGACCTTGGACAAATCACACAATCTCTTTGGCTGTATCTTTGTTTTCTCATCTGTAAATGAAGGGGTTGGACTAGATGGTAGTGAAGGGCTCTTCCAGTTCTAAGCCTCGGATCATGTGATCTTGCATGTCAAACCCAAAAAGAAAGATGCTTTCTGGGGAATTATTTTGGTAGTAGGGGTGAATCATAATGGTCATGGATGAGTTCAGTTATTTAACAAACATCTTTTAAAAATTGTCTTTTTAATTAAGTTAATCATCTATAAACATATTTCAGTATGCAAAGATGAACAAAAAACCTATTATGTATAGTTTTCAAAAATGTGTATTGTTAAATTTTACAAGGAAGTAACAAAATTGCTCTCTTTGTGTTCCTTTTTGACTTTTTTTCTTTTGTGTAGTTTATATTTTATTGATGCTTTTTCTCTTTTTTGTTTTGGCATCACTGTCATTTCCTACCAACTCACCCTACCCTATAACAAATTATTATAGTCATGCAAAACAAATCAAGGCTTTGCCTTTGTCTAAAAATCTGTGTCTTATTCTATAACTGTAGTTCATTGTTTCTGCCAAGAGACATGATCAATAGTCTTTTGAAATCATGATCACTCACTGCATTGAACAAAGTTCTAAAGTTTTTTGTTTTTTGTTTTTTTACATTATTATGGTCACAGTATAAATTGTTCTCCTGGTTCTGCTCATTTTATTCTTCAGTTTATATGAGTCTTCCAGGTTACTCTGAATCTGTCATTCATCATAATACTCTGTTAGATTCATAGACCCCAAAATGATGAGCACCTACTTTGTTTCCAATTCTTTGCTCCAACAAAAAGTATTTTTGTTTTTATGGGTCCTTTCCATTTTTCTTTGATTTCTTTGGAATATGTGCCTAGTAGTATTATTGCTGAGTCAAAGAGTATAGTGGTTTTTGAGTATTGTTCCAAATTGCTTTCTAGAATGATTGAACTAATTAGCAGCTCCACTAAAGGTGTGTTAGTATACCTGTCTTCTCAGAGCTCTTATAGCAATTGTTATTTTCTTCTTTTGTTATTGTTGCCAGTATGTGAAAGCTCAGAGTTGTTTTAGTTAGTTTTTCTCTTATTATCAGTGATTTGGGGCATTTTTTGTATGGTTGCTAGTTGCTTGCATTTCTTCTTTTGAAAACTCACATTTGACCACTTATCTTTTGGGGAATGGCTCTTGTTCTTATATAGAGAATAGGTACTGAACCTGTGATTTCACAATAGGAAACACCCTGCTGGGGAAACTGCCTTGGCACCTTCTCTGCTATTTATCATCTTAGAGAGTTGCCTATGAAACTGAGAAGTTAAGTGACTGGCTCAGGATCATATAATCAGAGACAGAACTGTTCTTATGTATTTGAAGTTTCTATATATCTTAACCTATATCTGAGAAATCTGCTGTAAAGGTTTCCCTTCAAATCTAACTGTGTTGATTTTGTTTGAGCAAAAGCTTTTAAATTTTAATCAAAATTGTTAATTTTACTTGTTTGTGATCACTACTGTTTTTTATTTAGCAATGAAATCTTTCCCTATCCTTAGTAGCTTAGTTTTGTCTTTTTATCCAACTGTGCCTAGAACATAGTTTGCACATAATAAATGCTTGTTGAACTGAATTGAGTTTCACATTTTGTGTCCTGTGATTTGACTTCATCCTTTTCCTTTACCTAGGTTTATTCAAGGCTCTACGACAGAGTCTCCCTACATCTTCTACCACTGGCAATTCATTGACATCTTTGTGTACTTCAGCCATCGCACAGTCACCATCCCTCCAGTGGTCTGGACCAATGCTGCCCATAAGCATGGGGTCTCTGTGCTAGGTAAGCGTGATGGCAGGCTGAACTAGGTTTTGATTATTAAAGAGAGTGTACATAGTAGCAGATCAGACAGATGTGGGAATAAGAGAAGATTGAGCCAGTTGTTGTGGACTGGTATTGTGTATAAATAGGTTGGTTCACAGGGCTAGAAGGGATCTTGAAGTCCAGCTCCTTCATTTCACAGATTAGGAAACAGGTGCAGAGTTTAAATGACTTGCCCCAGAGTCATACAGGAAGGATGTATGCTGATCCAAGATTGGAACCCAGATGTTCTTTCCACACTGCTTCTTTAACTGTGATGTAGTAGAAAGAACATTGCCTTTGAAGTTAGAAACCTAGTTTCGAAGTTCCCCTAACTCTCTATCATTATTTTCTCTGGGTCCTTAGGCAAGTCCCTGAACATATGTGTGCCTCAGTTTCTTCATCTGCTAAATGGATATACTAATACCCACACAACAAGATTGTTGTGAAGATCGAATGAGATCATATAAATAAAATGTTTTGTAAAACCATAAAATTTTATATAAATATGAGCTACTATTACCACTAGAGGAAGTGACATGGCATAGAGGGAAGAGCACTGGCCTTGAAATCAGAGGTAACTTGGGTTCAGATCTTGCTTCCAACATTTCTTTATCTATACGGCCATGGGCAATACTTTACCTTTACCTCTTTCAGCCTTAGTTTCCTTACCTGTAAAATGGTTACAGTAATAACTGTAGGAACCTCACAAGGCTGTTATAGGGATCAAATGAGAAAATATATCTAAAGTATTTTTTACAAACTTTAATCAATCAAGCATTTATTAAACATTGTAAGACACTATTCTGGGCATTGGGAATATGGAGACAAAAACAGAACAGTAGCCCTTTTTCTCAAGAAGGTTACATTCTGTTGGGGAAGGGAAGGGAAGACAGCACATGAAGGGGACCTGGAAAGGTGAGGGCAGAGATGGTCTGTGTGGTGGCAACATGGTGCGGACATAGTCTGGAAGTAGAATGGGGGCCTGGCTCTGGGCAAGACAAAGTGAAAGCTCATTTGTAAGAGACTAGTGCCCCAGGGGCAGAGTATAAGAATTGGTTCAGGGGAAAATGAGGGAGGTGGGGAATATGGATGGAATATGGGATATGGGCTCAATATGGAGCCCACATAAATAAAAACAAAATTTATATAAAGTAAAAACAAGCTAATTTTGGTTTTGGGGGAGACATTAACATCCAATGGGTCAAGAAGGGCCTCTTGTAGGAATGTACATAAGCTTAGGTTTGAAGGAAGCAGGAGAATTAAAGATAATGAAGGAGTTGATGCCAGGTGTGTGTGGGGACACTGGGATGGGAAATAGAGTGTGTGTGAGCCACAGGTCGATCTGGATGGACCACAGAAGACAGTAATAGGTAGCAAAATATACACGTTTGCTGTCATTACCTAGCCAGAACTCATTAGCAGACCCATTGGTGGCCTTTTGATTTACCTCTGAAGTCGCAGCTCTGGTATTTCCATACAAGCTGTACCCACTCCAGCTAAGCAAGTTATCTTCTCATCTGCACATCATCAGAGAGCCTAACCTTTCTGTCCTGTCTTCTAGGGACCTTGATCACAGAGTGGACAGAAGGTGGGCGGCTCTGTGAGAAATTCTTGTCTGGAGATCCATCCTCTTACCAGAAGGTGGCGGATCAGCTAGTCCGCATTGCACAGTTTTTTCGCTTTGATGGCTGGCTGATCAACATTGAGAACCCACTGAGCGTGAGTGTGGTCCTCTCTCCCCAAGCCACCCTTCCACCCTACTCTAGTTTATTTTTCCCCTCAGGGTTTTACCGTTGACTTCTGTCTCTTAACCTGTTTCCCTCCCCTGACTCTCTTCTCCACTCTTTGTGATGGAATACTGTAGCATCTCATAGAGCCTACTGCAGATTCTCCTCCATCTCAGACAGAGCCACCTCAGCCCTAGGATGCTTTCTCTGATGGAAGGGAATGGCATACTTTCCTTATGTATCTCCAGGGACCTTACCTGGCTGAGCTCTTATTGTGACTCTGGGTCTGAGTTGTGATGGGACACTTGTTTCTCTACCTCTGTCATGCTTGGATTGGATTGGGGGCCTCTTCTCCTCTTTTATTGGATTAGGTAATACCCTTGACTGTTTGTTATCCCTCTTCATCCCTTCTTTAGGAGAGTTAGCCCCGTTACTCTGAGTAGGCATATTGTGGGCTCCAGACATTAGTAGCTTTTTGCTTTTCTGTCGTATATGTTTCTGCCTCGTATTACCCACAGTCTTGTGTGTTCTTTTCTACCAAACAGATAGACATATAGATAGATAGAGCATTTATTATAGAGCACTTACTATGTGCTACATCATGCTAAAGGCTGAGGAAACAAAAGCAAGTTAGCAAGACAGTCCCTGCTCTCCAGGAGCTTATGTTCTTATGAAAAAGAAAGCACAAAAAGGGGAGCTGGAAAAGTGCAGAGAAAGGAGATATGTGTGGTGGTGACATAGTGACATAGCTGTGAAGCAATATGGAGCCCTGGGTATGGGCAAGACAAGTCACCTGTCAGTGACCAGTGCCCCAATGGCAGAGTGTAAAATTTGGTGGTGGTTGGGAGTAGGGGTAGGGGAGATGGGGAAGATAGGGATGATGGCCAGAGTGTAGGCAGCTTAGCTCTTAGTAGTGGTTTTCTTCCTATCCTGAGAGAAGAGTGCGATTACCTAGAGCCCTTTCTAAACTGCACTCAACTCAGACAATGTCAAATCTTCTCTTTCCCCCTTCTCACAGGCACCTGCAGTGGGGAACACTCCTTTTTTCTTGCGATACTTGACTGACCAGTTACACCAATATGTACCAGGTGGATTGGTGATTTGGTATGATAGTGTAGTGAAGGATGGACAGCTAAACTGGCAAAATGAATTGAATGAAAGAAATAGGTGAGTTGATTTAACAATGGCAACTTAGTCTCTGTTTTCCTTGTCTCCTGAATGTGGGCAGAAGAGTGAAAGGAGATTGGAATAGATTGCAGTCTCAACCCAGTAAGAATGACTAATGTTATGGATCAAAGTTAGTTGCCAGATTAACTGAGCAGCTCTAAGAAGGATCTGGTCTTCATCCTGGCCTTTCCAGGTCTCATTAGCTGACATTCAGGCTTCCCACCCAAAAGAATTCTATCTACCTTTGGGGGAAGTGGGGCATTTCTTAATTTGCCTTACCCTTAAGCATAACTACTTGCATAGGCCAATTATAATGTGTTGTGGGTTGGTTGTAAAGAATATTAATACTTTTCATTCCTGTGGGGAGATGGACTACTTAAAAAAGAAAACAAACAAAAAACTTTGGGCCATTTGCC